ATTTAATATTTTAGAACTTGCATTATAAAACTGGAGAACATTTGGAAAAGCGAAATGTGTGAAATATGCAATTTGCAGCAACTATGTCACCTATTTGATCGTTATTTTAATAATATCTCCTAAGATATCAAATGATTTCAAGGGAAACTTCAAAATTATTTTTATTAAATGGCAACGTTCAATGATATTCAAATGAATGTTTGGCAATAAAGTAATGCAGAATAGTTTTTGAAAGCTCGAACGTTGCGTCTTTCAATACAACTTGTATACTTAACTACACGTCCAATCGAACGATCACGTCAGTACATTCGTTTACTAAATACGGAGCGCTTTGCCTTACCATTTCGATTATTATTATGATAGCTATTCGATTTTCCGTTACGTTCTTGATAATACTGGCCGTATCTATGTTTAATGCGATAAGATGCGATTTTCGGCTCATTCACTTAATGATATTCATTTATTTATTAAATTACACCACGACATATATAATGAATTTTTTACAGTATAAGTTACAATATATATTTAAAATACATGACAATTATGGTGAACATAAATTTCACAAATAATATCTAAAAATTTCAGCTACATCTACACAAATAAAATTTTTTAATAGTAAAACCTAACATAACCCATTGAAAAATACTTGTTCGCTAATAACATTGTTGTTATTTTTTAATTGATCAGGCACCTACCAAATATGTCACGCTCTGAATAAGTAGCATTTATTTCGTTGTATTCGCGAGTTGTCTGAACTCCTAGGTTGAACTCCACCGGCTTGAGATCTCTGACCATCATTTTAAATTAAAGTCGCTGAACCATCATCGACTTGAGAGGGTGCCTATGAGAAAAATCATTTACAAATGAATGTAAGGTGTCGTGTGAATGATCTTTGAATACATTCAATGCTTTGGGATCGGATACAAGAGGTTCCATATAATGCTAACGTATTCAATATGACTGCGCACTAGAGCGTGAATCGTGATACAAAATTGTTTTAGTAAATACTAACAGCCAAAAAAGTTAGAGCAGTGTTGGCCTAGTGGATTCAGCGTGCGACCCTCATCCCTGAGGTCGTAGGTTCGATCCCCGGCTGTGCACCAATGGACTTTCTTTCTATGTGTGCGCATTTAACACTGAAGTCGAGAAGACTGCTCGAACAGTGAAGGAAAACATCGTGAGGAAACCGACATGTCTTAGACCCAAAAAGACGACGTAGTGTGTCAGGCACAGGAGGCTGATCACCTACTTGCCTATTAGATTGAAAAATGATCATTAAACAGATTCAGAAATCTGAGGCCAAAACCTAAAGAGGTTGTAGCATCACTGATTTATTTATATTTTAACAGCCAAAACAATCTGTATTCCGTTTAAGAATTACATTAATAACTTGAGATATAAACGTTAATTTTCTATCAATAATTACACCCAAGTCACGAATCCCCTGATCCTCATTCTGTTTTTTCTGGTGTATTTAATATGAAAGAACTTTGCACGTATCATATTTTTTCTGAAACAATCGTTATTTTTAAGATTCATTTTTGCCGCATCACAGAGAAAGTTAAGATAATTTAAGATATGGAATACGTGCGGTGATAAATATTACGTGCCGTTATTTGACAATGATATCCTTATTGGGATTATAGTTTATTGGCATGTTTATTTGATTATTTGTCTTTATTTCTAATCGTAATATATTTTTAGGTCGATGCTAATTATTTAACGCAAGGACACGCATCTTGATTGAGGACTATTGTTGTTATCTCTTTCAAATTATGCTTTTACGCGATTTGTGATACAGATACATTGAGATACTGCTACTGCGAGTTTAAAGGCTTCTATAATTGTTTTTAACACACTTATTTCTGCATCTGTTTCATTTAACATTTTATCATTATTGGTAAGTAGATGGTTCGACCGATCGACTCTTGTAGCGACAGCTAAAATCACTGCGATGATGTGATACACTAGAACGCGCTTCTGAAATTATTCCGGCAAAGGATATACAACTTCTTGACTTTAGCTACTGGGGCTTTCGAACTGGCCAGTCACTCGTGAAGCCTTGTCTAGGATTCAGCCTTTAGGTAGGAGAACACCACACACATATTTATCGTCGAGGTTTGGGTAAGAAATGCCGCTTAAACAGTGTTACCTATGCCGTATCTACAAGAGAAAATGTAGTTTAGTCGGTAGACTTACATTGCTCTAAATCATTTACTGTAGCATAGTTCTAAGCTAAGTTTTGAACCGGATGGAGGAGTCCAAACAACACCTCAACACCAGGACAAACCAAAACCTGACAAGCAAATGATGATTCCTAAATGTTAAAGTGTATTTTACCAAATGTTAAAAGTTATTTTTTTTTAATTCAAAATCAATGAAACTTCTACGCTCATAATTAAGTTTTGGAAAGGCTATTATTATACAGACAGATACGAGTATTGAGACATCGTACTGGTTCGATTACCGGAAAAGCATTAGGAGCTTAAAAATACAGAAAGCTGATCTATTGTCTATGACAAAAAAATATTACCTATACAGGGACACAATCGGTAGTTCAGTCCAGGCAGTGCTTTAATAAAGAAAAATGAAACATTTAAATTACAAATTGGACAAATCTAAACCTAATTTCTTCTTTAACTATATCATATTTTAGCACAGAAAACTTTAATATTAGTTATGACATCAATCATTGGATATAAATTTCCAACTGTCGACTGTAATCAGGAGTGGTCTTTTGAAATATTATCTACAGATCATGTTTAGTCTACTCTATTAAATATATCGAAAATGGGGGTCATATATTATATAATAGTTATACAATTTTTTTTTTAATTTTTTTTTTATTTATTATATACATTATCTTAAATAGAAAGAAGTTGGTGTGGTGGAAACACAAACTGGACACAATTGGAGCAGTAAAATATAGGTTCTTAGCAAACCTAAGGTTTTCCTTGGTAACCCTTTTTTTCTTTTTTATTATTGAGGGAAATGCATTTGCCCGTGTTTGTCATAATTCCAAACAATTAGCATTACTATCATCACCCTACAATCTTAGGTTTAAAGCACATTGGCGTTGAATATTACACCTACCGCACATAATGTATAGCTTCTAAGAACAGATTATTGACGAAGGTGGCGCTCTCGTTGGAATGCCAGGTCTGTATAAGTCAAAGTATTAAATCCTTCATGTTCCTATCCTAACAATCCTGCTCCATAGAGTTAAACGCATTATAACTGAGAAAACTCGAGTTTTGAAGTTTCTGGAAAACGCGTTGAAGAATGCCGTGCTGCGAAGCAATAAATAGAAACTTGTTGGTTCGACATTAAACCCATTAAATAATAGCACAGCTTTCCAAAAATATATATTTTGTCCTCAAAATAACCGAGATTATAGATATCCTAAGAAGCCGATACACATCACGTATAAAGTTTATCGTACATATTAAAGATTTGAATACTGATAAGTCCATAATGGCACTTGAAATAAATCAGACAAAAAAGCGCAATAAACGCTGATGATACGATATTAATAAACTTTAATTATTTCCGTTTCTCTGGAAGGCAGAGAGTAACTAACAACTAAGCAATTCCCTTCACAGACTTTTTTCTATTTGTTCTCAAAAGTATTATTCGATAATATATCGGACAACTTGAGACGGTTCGTTTTACACGATTTTATTAAAATTAATAAACCTTTATAGTTTTCAAACCTATAGCTAAGCTATATAAGGAAGGTAGCGCTAACCCCTTGTGGCTTTTTCCTTCACATTTTACTTATATGTCCAGTCTTCCATAACTTACAGTTTTTACGTCGACTTTTAGTCAAAGGGTTCAAAAGTATGCCTCGACTCTGAACCCGTCAAAAACCTATTGGATTGGAGTGTAACTCCCACACATAGAAATGAAATGAAATAGTTTATTCTTGCAAGTAGGACTATATAAATCACTTTTACAATGTCATCCTAAACTAGATGAAGTCGACATTTCCTAACTGACTGCCCTGAGAAGAAATGTCGAAACAAACTCGGGGGTGTTAGTCTCTTTTATAGTCCAGATAATACAATAATAAATTAATAAATTGGTGCAAACAAATGCAGAGTATTTAGTGGACTGGTCTTTGGAAGAAAGAACCAGATCGATCTGAGCAAGCCTGTGCCAGCAGACGGCAAGCATGCCCCGAATAGCTCATGCAGCTCAACCATTTTTGAGGGAGCTGCACAACCCGGTACACAGCAATACCGCCAGTGGCACCATAAAAATATGTGGGGCAACAACTCAGATCGCCAGCCCAAAATAACTATAGACTAAAATGTATCAAATTATAAATCAAGCAAAAGAGTTTATGATATACCCGCATAATGTTTACACTTACAATGGATACAAAATGTATTTTTAAGGTGTACCTTAAAGCAAGGAAAAAATAATGAAATTGAACAATATAATCGTAATATAAACATTATTCACTTGGCATAAAAAAAAGTGAAAGACAGCTTAAAAAAAACACAAGCGATAGCTGTATAAGCGAGCAGCTCAATCCCAGGCGTTTCTATCATTTAAATAATCGGATATACAGGATTAGTACCTAAGTCGAATGTTAAAAATTAAATCAATTAGAGATCCAAAATTATTGAGAGATCTAACATTTGTTAAAAGCTGTCATATATCGCGTGCCTAAAGGTAAAAGGGCATATCCCTACATGTTAGTAGGGATTTATGGTAAAAGGGCGCACAAAAAAATTTTTTTTTGCCATTCGCTTTGGAATTGTCCAGAACGCAAAGATCTCTAAAAAAAAAATCTGGAAAACGGTTGACCCTAAGCCATCCCTGCAACTTCCCGCTAATTTTCAGTACCAAGCGTTGATGCATGATGTTTTTGAGCTCTTCGAGCTCAAAAATGTAAGATCTTTCTTATTTTGAACTCTCCGAGCTCAAAAAGCAGCTGTTCTATGCTTTTCTAAATCTAATATAAATTTGATAAAACACGATTTTTTTAATTTTCAAACTGCTATAACTTTTGAATTAATTAACCGATTTTCACGTGGTTGGCGGCGATCGATGTAATTTTTCGAGCTCCATAAAAAATTCAAAACAAAAAAATTTATCAGACGGAAAATTCTGGAGTTATTACAAAAAAACACTTTTTTCGATTTTTTTCGACAACGATATCTCAAGAACGCATCAACCGATTTTGATGCGCTTGAGCGCTTAGATATCACACCGAGCTTGTACCGCAGCTCTTTAACTTTATTGTCTAAGCCTTGGAAAATAGGCAGCAAGTCAGTATTCCAACCACGTTCTAGCCCGCACTCCAGAATAAAATTGAGCAGGACTAAACATCCGTGGTCATCTAAATCGGGCCTTGCGTCGGGGCGCATCTTGTAACCAATCTGCGCTTTTTCAGTCATCGATAAACAGACACTCAGAGCGGTTAAATTGAAGACTTCTACTAGCAGTCGTTGCGCTAATGATTGGCAATTATTCGATTCTTCTTTGCTGTGCCTGAGCTCTGCGTGGCTGACGTAAATACCGCTTCGAGGCAAGAGTTCTACTAGCCCGTGCCTATATTCCCGATACTTCAGGGTCCATTTTGTGTCCTCAGAATCATATTCCGGCGGTAGAACGAATCTCCATCTGTTATTGTGATTTATTTCTGGTGGTTCATTGACGGCGTTATTGCTCGGTTGATTGCCGTTGTCTCGGTTTCCTCTTTCAAATAGTGCGGCTGGTATCCCTTGAGCAACCAGTGGGACTTCCTGCCTGACGTTAAGAGAGGAAGATGCGTGGCTTGCTGAACTGTCCATCGCGTTGAATTTTTCGATATTACTCAACAACGTTTGGTATGTCTTAGCAGTTTCCATCATCGAATCCCGTAGGTGATTGAACATATTCGCCGTATGATTCAAAGTCGAGCCCATTTGAGTAATGATGGTAGCGAATTGGTCCAACATTTGTTGCTCCAAAGCACGTCTTGACGAACCATTTTGCGCAGCCTCATTCACTGTCTCATCTGTTAACATCTCATGGCCAAAAGCTGCTTCTTGATCAGTATCACATCCTGAATCTGAATTCGTCCCGTTAGCTGGCGACACAGGTTTTTCTTTCATGTATCTGTCTGTATGACACTCCCTGTCTACTCCTCTCGACGAGGATTCACCAGCAGCAGTGGACCTCACAATGTCATCTTGAGAGTTCAGATTCATGGCATTGGGTTGATCAACCAGCTGCTTCTGCATGCGTGATTTCTGAGCCATATCTTCATAGACATATGGTTCCATTCTCGGTTGTTGATCAGGTGAACCGGTAGGCATCCTGGAGCTGAGCGTATCACGTGATTGTGCTGCTGAGATGTTTCGAATTACGTTTTCTAAACCTGCAATGCGCAGCTGCTTGTAACTGTCATTCATGAGGACTTTCAGTCGCTGCTCATTCGATAGATAGTCGTTACTAGTAGTTAAAAGTGTTTCGATGATTGATTTCGGAACTTCTGACAAAACAGGCGATGGCGCTTTTCTCAGGATCCCTTTTCTAGAAGCATTTGGTCGCTCTACGGTGGGTATGGGCAAAGCGCCAGCAGGTCTTGGATTACCTGGTGGACGTCGTGATTCTTGTTGAATTAATTTCAGCTGTGCTTGATCAGAAAGCTCGGGACCTCCAATTATCCGATTTTGTTTGCCCTCTGGATACCTATCCAAAGATGGTATCCTCATCCTGATCGTTGGAGAGTTAGGTCTGTTGGGCTGATGCTGTGTGGCGTTTATTCTCTGATCAACACTTGGTGATCCGCTGGATCTTTGAGGTAAATTTTGTCCTCGAGTGGCTTGCTGCATATGTTGTTGCAAAGCTGGTAAATTTTGCTATCCATTCAATTGACTGGTAAAATTCAGACGCTGTTGAGGTGTGCTTGAAGAGTTTTGTGAAGCCGATGCGACATTGTTGATACTTTGATGAACAACTCTTGGATCCACAGCAGTCACGCTGTGAGGTCTCTCGATATTTATTCTGGGCACATGCTGAATTTCTTGATAGTCGACGAGCAACCGATTCTGAATTCTGGTTACTGGTGGTTCTCTAGCTGGAGGCTCCGATAATGATTTGGTTTCGTCCATTAAAGTCGAACGGTTTTGCACAGCTACATTTCTCGTAATATTCTCAAGGCGCATTTTCTTCTTGATTGGAGGTTGCGACGGTACACAAAACGGCGCTTTCCTTATTATATCTTGCAGTCTAGCAGAAATTGTGTCTGGTGTATGCTGAGCAGAAGATGATCCATTATTTGAACCGTCACCAGCACGTGGTTCTTGATTGTTGGAAGTTGTTGCCATAGATCGAACATCTGTTATTCGCGGTTGGAAGTTTGAAGATGAATTACCACTGTCTTGCGGATGTTTTTGGTTATTATGTTGATTCGGCTGAGGATTCTGCTCGACTATAGCGGGCGGTTTCGGCGCAGTCGTTGATGCAGGCGTCATATTACTAGTGAGATGATTTTGGATGTTGCTATTAGTTCTACTCGGATGCTTATCATGTTGAGACTGGTCTTGTCGTTCAATATTAATGGCTTTAGTTGGTTCATATTCGTTTAGTATCGGCATACTTGGCTCTTGTTTACTACGTTTGAAAATTTTTTGGTTTATAGATTTAGTACTTTGCTCATGACTCTCTTTACCTTTGGTTCCTGCAGAAGTTTCTTTTGGCTGAGCACTTTTCATTAATTGGTCGTTTCTGGGGGTCGATTGTTTTATTCTTGAGCTTCCAGGCTGTGGATTTGCGTTCGGAATAAGACCGCACTTGGCTTTTGCACCTGCGATTTTCATCGGTTTTTGCTGTTTCATATCAAGGTGTTGCTTCGGTTCCGCCGAAGCTGGTCTCTTATTCATCATGTTTAGTAATTGCTTCCGAAGACTTTCATCCAGCTTCACTGTCAACTGAGGTTTATCTTCCGTGGATTTTGACGAATCATTCCGGTTACCACTGCGTGGTTCACCGGAGGGGCTGGTTGCGCACCTATAAATAGGAATTTTAATCACTATTTTGTAAAAAAAATTTAAATATGATAGATAATAAAAAAAATCTACGAAAAATTTTAATGAGAACATGTTAATTTTTCTTATAAAAAATCGTACTCCTAGATTCGAATCAAAATGTAATCATTTTTACAATGTTACATCGTAAATTCTATTTAACAAAATATACTGTTCAAAATAACACAAAGTCTCATACATACTCTCAGAAATTACGATGTTGAAATATTAAAGTATATGATTGACCATAGCAACGTATTAATGTCGGTAAAGTAAATTACAATATAAATATCGTAAAAATTGTGGTTTAAACAGTAATTTCTGAAATTTTACATTACAAAGGTGACAATCAGAAAAGTCTTGTCCGGGATTACGATATGATCATAGTAATTTTTCACAAAATTTTCTTTCCGCGTATGGTCTGATTCTTACCATTTATCCTCGAATTCTCCGGTACCGAAGGCCCATCAGTCCTTCTTGTAGTTATCCAAAGCTCTCCATCTTCATAAGTATCTGAAAAAAAATTAAATACATCATTTCCTCTTAATTTCAAAGTTGTTCTAAAACGAAAAATGCTTTGACAATATAACGCATGACCAACGAATTCATAAAATAAAACTTACTTGTTCTATATTTAATTTCAGCCAGATATAACCTCCACTTATCATCGTATGTCTCCATTCTTTTCGCACGCTCTCTTGTTTTGATAAGAGTTTCATTGTTGGGATATGCAACAACGCATTTCGGATCCGTCGACCTCTGAAACATGACCCATGCTAACGGCACACATACGCAGTCATCAACATCTCTGGAAGGCAATTTTAAGAAATGCACAACGCAGAATCGATCACTATTTCTACTATTACTTTCCATCTGAATCAAATGAAAAACACTCGTTTAATCACCGAACCAACCGATTCCGTATGCTCGGCCGCGTTCAAGGTCAACCATTCATTGGTTTTCACCCCACTGGCCTCCTAGCCGCTTCGATACCAAACGATACAAAAATATCTTCCTATTTTATCATCGGAAAATTTCCGTTATCACATAACTATATTTCCACTAAAAAAAAAAGATAAGCTCTACTCATTTTTAAATGATAGCATGTCTAGTTTGTTCCCGCTAAAATATACTCTCATTGCAATAATTAATGCACAAAGTCAATAGAAGCAACGTTCGCTGCGCTGATCAACTGCGCTAATTCAACTGAGGACTCATCTCAGATAAGATTGAGTCGCCTTTATACTAGCGGCCTAACAAACATATTGCGTCATTGCATTATCATACATTATAGTTTGACCCCCGGTGGTTGCATGTTTGCACTTATCTCGCTTTGGAGTTATCAACAATGTTCATTATGCCGGCTATTAAATTTGTGAATATGACAGTAGGAAACTTCAAAAGTCAAAAGTGTTATAAAACGAATTAATCGCAGATTTAACTGGTTCGGGTGCGAAAACTTATCTATAAAAACACAAACGTAATTAATACCACTAATTTTCTGCGGTAGACGGTAGCGAAATTATAGTAAAACATTGTTCAACAATTGAAGAGCTGAATTTCAAAAGGGTATCTTTTCATTTTTTAAATTGGATTTTTTTAAGTTTTGAATATTAATTACTTTAATAAATTATAGAGTTTTTTTTAATGAAAATTAAATTGCCCGGCTTTATAACCTCAAGCACTATGCATTAAAGTTAAAAAAAATTAATACACTAAATAATGCGGGAATATTTCATCGGTTAAATTGGTTCTTTAGATTTCTTGGAACAAATAAAGTAAACATGTTTTTGCCATATTTTTCATTTCTTTTTCTTGACAAGTCACAATCTCGGAATTTATTTTTATGAAATTCCCAGGAAAAGCTATAATTTTGATAGAGTTGATTATGACAGAGAATATTAATATAATTGTAACAGAAACTACGCGACATGTATGCGATAACGATTGCATGCATTGATGTCCTTCTGCATGGATCGTACAACCAAGCTTCTAGACCACCTAGGCTTTCCAAATCCACTAATCGTTCATCTCTGACTGTCACTAATTTTCGTTCTTTGTCGATCCTCATCTATCGATGTCGTTGCATCGTCATTGATTGAATCAAGTACATCAATTCAAACTGAGTCCCTGATGAGTCAAAAATTGATGGATCTTTGATTCAATCAATGTGATTGACCTGCATCATTCGTACCTAACAGCAGCTATCATATTCAACGAGCTCTTCAACATTTCAATCAACTCAACAGTCTGACCTTGAAGATATAAAGAGTAGTCAACTACAACGTACTCCATGATGATGATCTCGCTGACGTTTTTCATTCATTAAAGGCTTTTTTAAACTGTGCTGAGTAAGCGTATTTACCGCTTCATACCGAACGAGATCAACAGAAACATTCTTGTAAAGTATTCAAAGCGTTCCGTATCATCTACTACTGACTAAAGATTATTCCGAACATTTGCATGAACGTACGAATGACGTCAAAGCAAACAGTAGTCTTTGACGTTGACCATTGGCTAACGATAACTAATCGACTTTTGTTGTTTAGTTCAGCGGTCGTGATGAATCATTGAACTACCTCGATAACGTGGCTCCATTAGTAAATTAATCAATTCTACAACTTACAATTCTGTGACATCTTGTTTAATTATGGTGACAAGTGTTAGTAAATTGGAATAGGAAAATAAGTTGGCACGTGTTGCAGATTTTTAGTCATGCGCAGTGGACCGATAGTCCCTCCTCACGTGGAAGAGGGGATGATGTGGCAAACTTTGATTGAGTTTTTGGAATTTTCATAGGAATATTGTTCGAAACAAATGATGCGCATGATGAAAATTCAAGAGTTTTCAACAGATCTCGATGTTTTGAGGCTCTATGAATCTTTCCTAACCCCTCCTGAGAGGTTGTCACTGTGTCTGTGTATGTGTGTGTGTATGTATGTAAACCTCTTATAACTTTTAAACGGCTTGACCAAATCAAACCAAACTAGTCGCGTTCCAGAGAGTTCCATCCAACTTAGATAAGAAAAATAAAAAAAAATAAATAAGACATGACAAATATTTATTTAAATTCTTTCGAGGGTGACATGCTCCGAAATTGAGTCAGCAAGTTTGGTTCTAGGGTGCTGTTGAGGGTGGAAGACATCTGAAGGCAGGTGAACCCATTTTTGTGGCCATCGACGGGTAGCCAGGGTTGGTTTATCACGTTCGAGGTTGTAGGGTTAGGATTTCCAGTTCTAGCGAAAGCAGTCCAAAATTCCACGAATCTCCGATGAACATCCCATTCGACTGTCCCCTTCTTGGGCGGGCAGATCCCAATCTTCTTGAATGCATTCATGTTGAACAGGTAGCCAACCTCCTCGCAATGGGCGGCTCCTTTCAAGTCCGTCCGCATAATCTTTTGCACCATCGCTGAGTCCTCCGAGAAGTAGCTGAACTTGAAGAAGTAGCTTGGAACACCAGTCTGCTGTTGGACCTCCAAGATATGGTGAATATTTCCTAAGAAATGCAGGAAGCTCATCAGGTCGACGAAATTCTCAATGTTCTTCCTGGAGACGTCCTTGCCGTTCATGAAGAAGTTCCGGACGACATCCAATGAGATATTCTGCTGCTCCAGGAAGCGCCTGGTTGCTGGATGGTACAGCAGGTGCTGGTGTTGATTCATCAACGCCAAATTGTCCTCAGTCAGAACAGACAGCTGCATGATCGCTTCGTGACTGGTTGCTCCCAGGATGCAGGGAACTTTGATCCCCTGCTTGACAGCTTCATCAACAGGAATCGTCAGGAACGGAGTCTTGGCCCGGGAGTCCACGGAAGGGCCGAAGGTGTTGACGCTGACTTTCCAGGTGAAAAGAGACCCCGCCGCTTTCAAGAGATCTTTCACCTGAACCGTTTTCAGGAACTCCAGCACCTGGACCAAGTCCTTGGACTGGTGTCCCAGGAGATTAGCAACCTTCACCGCAGATTCCTTCATGCTTTCGGCGGGAACACTGGCCCAGGGGGTGCTTGCAACCCCACTTTGAAGGATCGCCTTGTGGAATAGCCCCTCTGCCAGGGGTGAAAGCGCCAGGTAGTGAACTGCAGCACTACCTGCGCTGTACCCGTAGATCGTGACATTGTCCGGATCTCCACCAAAGCTGGAGATGTTCCGTTTCACCCACTTGAGAGCCAGGACCTGGTCCTTGAGCCCTTGGTTCCCCGGCGCTGCTTCGTCTTCAAGATTCAGGAACCCTAGGATCCCCACGCGGTAGTTGATCGTCACCAGGACCAGATCCTCCACCAAGAAATCAGGACCCAGTAAGTTGTCATCTCCTGAGCCGAAGGCAAAGTTCCCACCGTGGATGACCACCATCACGGGCTTCTTTGCAGCCAAGCCCCGGGTGTAAACGTTCAGGTACAGGCAGTCGTCTCCACCCTCGATTTTTCTGGTGAACCAGTTTATTTGGCCACACTTTCCGGCGTGACCACTTGCTTCCAGAATTCCATTCCAAGGCCCGACTGGCACCGAGTCCTGGAATCTTCTGAACCCCACAGGAGGTTCCGCGTACGGAATCCCTTTGAAGGCCAAGAAATTAACGCCATAGCAGCTGACGTCGACGGCACCACGGACCAGTCCTTCTTGAATCCTGACTGTTGCCATTGTTGACTCGACACTGCATGTAGAAGGGCTTGATTGCAGATTTATCGAGTTCGATCGAGTGACTCTTGCTCTTCTTGGAATGACGTCAGCACACTGTAATGTGCGGAGTATTGGAATTGAACGTAGTAGTCTGCTTGCACTGATCATCGTTAAAGTTACTCGTTTAAAGAAAATGAGACACACGAATTACCTAGTGTGGTGGCTAGCACTGTTGACTCGACACTGCTTCTAAAATGGCTTGATCGCAAATTTAAAGCGATTCTTATTACATACTACTGATTCCAAAGATTATTTTAAACATTTCCATAGGCGTACGAATGACGTCAAAGCAGATAGTAGTATTTGACGTTTTCCATTGGCTAACGATTTTTTAGCGTCACGTGGCGGCATCTGGTATACACATGTTCGAGTTTTTGTAGGTATGACGAACATGGTTGGGTTCAAAACAAGATGGAGGTTTTGAGTTGGTTGTTATTTTTCATTGTGAGTTACCGACGATAAGCTGCCAAGTTTTCTTAGGTATGTTCGCTAATTTTAATTAATTGGATGATTAAATTTATGACTGCTATAACAACTAATCGACTTTTGATGTTTACAGACTGGCCGTGGAGATTTTTCGAGCTCAACGATCGTCATGAATTATTGTACTACTTCGATAACGTGGCTCCATTAGTAAATTAATCAATTTTAAAGCTTACAGTTGTGTGACATCTTGTTTAATTATGGTGACAAGTGTTAGTAAATAGGAGCAGGAAAATGAGTTGGCACGTCTTGCAGATTTTTAGCCATGCGCAGTGGACCGATCGGTACCTGATAGTCCCTCCTCACGCGGAAGAGGGGATGATGTGGCAAACTTTGATTGAGTTTTTGGAATTTTCATAGGAATATTGTTTCAAACAAATGATGCGCATCAGTAAATTTATTGTTTCTCATTGCGCAGAATTAAGTAAAAGTGTGTAAGTCCGCTAACTTTCGAGTTAGTAATTATTCCTGGTATCCTGTAATAACCTTTAGTTAATAATTTTGATTTAATAAAAAATTTAAATTTCTTAAGGGGAAGTTTACGAACGTCCATAGGAAGTTTATTGTAAAAGCGTATACATTGACCCATGAACGAGTTGCTTATTCTATGAAGGAGAGTAGCATGAACTGTTAAATTATTTTTGTTCCTAGTATTTCGGGAGTGAAGATCAGACAATTTGACAAAATCAGGTTCGTTTTTGTGAACATAAAGTAAATTTTCAAAAATATATTGTGAAGTTACAGTCAGAATGTTTATCTCTTTGAATTTCTCTCGGAGAGAAACTCTAGGACCTAGGTTATATATAGCGCGGACAGCTCTTTTTTGTAATAAGAACAGACATCCGTTTTCCGTTTAATAATAACCTCCGTCCGTCCTACCTCAAAGGTAAGAATTTATTATATTATTAGGAAACACAAAAGATTAGAACGTGTAGGTACTTTAGACTTTTAAAATCTACCGAGGTTAGGTTAGTAACAAGCCCGTTCGCACGAAGTCTAGAAATAAAAGTGAGTCAACGCCGGTGTTGCCATGCTTTATATAGGTTTCTGCTACAAGATGGCGTTAGTCCGCTAACACGGCCTCTCCTGACACCCTGACGTCCTCGTCAGGATTTGATGTCCCAGCGTCTATACTGTCATGTCTGTGAGTAGAATAGAACGTTAGAAAATTACAGTTCTGGGAAGGTATTGCGTCGTCTATTTGGTCAGCAGCTGAACATATTTACTTGGTTTAATACAAACAATCAAAGTAATGAAAGATAGAAAGGAACTTTAAAGTATCAGACTCCAAGGAATGAGTGAAAGATTATTTATAACCCTTACAAGATTTGAAACAAACTATCACTTTCATGTGTAAAGGACTTGTGTAAACAATTACAAGTTTAGTGTCACCATAAGGTATAAAGGTGTACTTATTTCTCAAGAAGATCGTGAGTTTGGGGCTGGTTACCCTGTCCATTGATCTTTTTACCATTCATAAAGGAAGATCGTGACTTTGGGGCTGGTTACCCTGTCCATTGATCTTTTTACCATTCATACAGGAAGAACATGAGTTTGGGGCTAGTTACCCTGTCCATTGATCTTTTTACCATTAATACAGGAAGATCGTGAGTTTGGGGCTGGTTACCCTGTCCATTGATCTTGTTACCATTTATACAGGAAGATCGTGAGTTTGGGGCTGGTTACCCTGTCCATTGATCTTTTTACAATTTATACAGGAAGATCGTGAGTTTGGGACTGGTTACCCTGTCCATTGATCTTTTACCATTTATACAGGAAGATCTTGAGGGTTTGGGGCTGGTTACCCTGTCCATTGATCTTTCAAAAAGCAAATATTACAGAATTAGATAGCTTCAGACTTAACACAAATAAAGATAAAACTCAGTATATTTGCAATACACCGTCGTATCGACAGGCTCCTAGTGCTCTCATAAGCGACAATTTTTGAAAACAGAGACTCATACATTTTGCATGTTCTCTAAGTGGTCTAAACACATTAGCACCAGAAAAACTTAAAACAGAGACCCATACACTTGTATGTTCTCAAAGTGGTCTAAACACATTAGCACCACAAAAATTTAAAACAGAAACCCATACCTTTGCATGTTCTTAATAACAAAGACCAGATCATCCTTCTGGAATTTACAAGGGGGGGGTCTACGACCCACATTAACGACAGTGTCCTGATTGATTTGACTGTTCTTCAACCGTTCGGCCGTCCTCTGTCAAAGCATCTCTCGTCTACCTTGCCGACTAGACGATCCCGAATTTAATGCGACACTGTTGCACTCTCATGACAAACACAAACAACACTTTTACACAAAGAGCACTTTTAAAATGTTAATCACTCGTGACTTCGTACATTACGGACACAAAGAGAAGGAAAATTTAAACCACAAAGATTACTCAAAACAAAACAAAAGAGAAGTGAGCGAAAAGTTCAAATCCCACTTCTGATATTAGGAAACACAAAAGATTAGAACGTGTAGGTACTTTAGACTTTTAAAATCTACCGAGGTTAGGTTAGTAACAAGCCCGTTCGCACGAAGTCTAGAAATAAAAGTGAGTCAACGCCGGTGTTGCCATGCTTTATATAGGTTTCTGCTACAAGATGGCGTTAGTCCGCTAACAATATTATATGCATAATATGTATTTGTAAAACAAAAAACTTGGCGATTAAAAAGAGTGGCGGAGAGTTTTTTGCCAGTTCTTCTCTTCCGTTCTACGCCCTTGATTTGAGAACTGGCAGTTAATGTAAAATGAGAAGCATTTAATGTATATTTCTTTTTTTGACGTTCATAAGTGTACATAGTGTTACCTGTATGAATAAATGATTTTTGACTTTGACTTTATCAATCGAATAATAAGTACCTAAATCGAAAACAAGTAGGTATTAATACAAAATGTTTGTAAGGAGCTGCAACTACATCATGCTCCTTGTCACATCTAAGAAACAAAAGAATGAAATAAAACACTTTATTATGATAAAAAAGGAATTGGTTAAAAAGAAATTGCACTGTCTCTTCCATTTGACATGTTAACGGTACCTACTTGACATAATAATTTCTACATAACACTTATATACTTATATAACTGAAGGGCGATAGTCAATTCTTGACTATGGCCCTTCAGTTGTACACATTGGAACTTTCAAACTATGCTCATCTAGTAGCATGCTGGAGTGTCACACCATTGTTGTGGACATCCCTAAGTCACGCACTACATGATTTGGATCGTCTTTTCTTGAGGATTGGAACTCCTTGCTACTAAGGAACTAAAATATGCGATCATTTAAGCGACGGCTAAATAGACATCTTCTGGACAATGGTGCCCTCCAATGGCCCGCATTAGGTCGGATTAAGGCAAAATGTCTGTCCACTTCTGTATAAAAAAAACGACGGGTTGCACTTCGGGAGTGCCGGCAGAAGTGAAAACTTGAATATTAACCTTGCGCATTTTTGATATTTTGGAATGGTTAGGGAATAATTTTGCACGAATTGCTTGATTTATCAGTATAAAAATACTATCATTTATGTGGTAGAATACAATATTTATTTATTGCGCTATCGTACACAAACATGACAATTTATATTACATTAAATACTCCGCGCCAGCTGTCTAATCTCCATCCATCTTACGAATTTTCGATCAGGTCACGTGTCCTGACGCGAGTTTAACATTTTTTACCCATTCCAAAAAAGTGTACAACGCCGCTAAAGAAGTTTTCACTTCAAAAGATAAGGTTTGTTTACCTAACAGTGTACTTGGCTACAGCCCAAAACAATGATTGTTTCACTGAAATTAAACGCTGTTTCGTTCGAGTCTACATAGGAATACCTACTTAAAGAGGAAGATGCTGCTCTTCCTCCGACCTTAATGGAGGATCCTCGGCCTCGGCTCTTAGGACTGACTCGCCGGCACGAAGGCCCTAGTGGCTAATGTCGAAAAGTATATATATATACTTAGCGTTCAGAATGACTTTGATAACGCGATTCAGTGTTTGACTGCAGCTGTAGTAGCTGTAGTGAGTGATTGGAGCTGTAGATTGTAGGTGTCGCTACATTTCTACTACAGATTGAAATAAAACTTCTTTAAGAGTAAAAGTACTATAAGTAATAGAGTAAGATCCCAGAGCGATAAGACACAACTTATTTTCTAAAGCATAGAACCTTCGGTTCTAAGTAGTCTCTGGTGTGCTTTTTAATACCTGTACGCTTGTGGAGTTGGCTCGGTGCAACCTGCACATGTACCAGGTGAGAAAGGTAACTGAAAATCAGAGTAACTTAAGTTAAACTTTAATGACTGATTTTTATATATAATTTGTAGAATATTACTCTGAAGTAATATCAAAAAAGTCAGACGCTTTCCATGGGCCAGAACTTTTGTCAGACGCTTTAAAGCTCTACAAAAAATAAATGAACTTAATTTATTTTTAAATGTCTGATTTTTATATATGTTATTCAAATAAGTATTACAAAGTTATATTTAATCAGTCAGACAAATTGTAATGACCAAACATCCCCTAAACACAAAAATTACTCAACTATGAGTATGAGCGCGAGAGCAGTAAACATGCGTTTAGATACCTGTATTTATGTGATATATTTGAAATTTTATATTATTCAATTTGATGCTCAATTTAGGCTTCCACGTGTGTAGTTCGCAAGTTCCCAAGTTTAATCAAGATATTAATTAAAATCGGTTCATTGGTTGCTGCAGCGGACAACAACAATGTTTCTTCTTAATTTGTTTTAATATTTTATACGTAAGTGAACAGTTCTATAAAGAAGTGAGCCAAAGGGAAGGTTGCAGACCTTAGAATTTTTTTTTTATATCCCATTACACAGATAATTGGTGGAGGAAGGCTTGGGACATGAAAAGATACGATGCATTCATTCATATCCTTCTATCCAGAGTTACTACACAAGTAGTATCTAATTTTTATTTATAACAATGTATATATAAATATAGTATAAATTTATGTAATAAAGTATTATTTAGGTAATCCCTTGCCTGATACACGTGTTGATTTTTCGCGACTTTCTGTTTATGTGAAGGGAATAGATCCAGAGCGTGACATATTCGGTAATGGGCTGATCAATTTTTAAAAAGCGTTGTTACGTACCTATCTGATACCTCATCCGCTGTTTTGCTAGTATTTTTATTTTTTGTAATATTTATGTTTATCATAATTGTCATATATTTTAGAAAAGATAGCTTGTTACGTACTGTAGATATAGCATTATGCATGATGTGGTGAACTTTAATAAATCAATTAGTAGGGGAACCGAGGCTAATGGGAGCGGTGCGCCTAAAGACGAAACTACAGCTCGTATTTACTCAGTTGCCACTCAGGCAATTATAGGCTCTCATTTCACGCAAAGTCGGGTAATGAGAGCGATCCTGTTTTTTTCTTTAAAGTTTATTTGTGTCAAAATGCCAAATTATGTTACGTTAACGCTGTGATTAAATGATAGTCGAATAAGTTTAGTTCCTAATGTAAAGTTAATAAAGTATCAATAAATTTGCCTTTTATTGAACTTTTTCCTTAGTAGGCTCCAGTTCCCCCCATCTCCTCTATGTCATAATGTTTTATTTACACCATAGTAACAAGTGATGGAGAGAGAAAAATCCATCGGTAATCAGCCTGAGTTAGAACGCTCACCTCGACATAATTTGTGTTTAAACCTAGTAAAGCCAGTGCTGTTCTTAAGGAAATAAAAATAGTATTTATAAAACAACATATTTATTGACACCACTTAATTACACAATAACAATAATACAAAATAATACTTATGAAGATATCTTAATTAGTCGCCGCTTGCGCAGGTCATAATCGTCACACAACTGTAAAAGAAAAATGTATAAGTTTGTATCTTTTTGTCAGACAAAAACAATTTGGCACTTCAAATATGGAAGATATACTGGCGTTTATATTAATTCCATTAAAAACCCCAATTTTCTTCGTGGTTTTAAACTAAAATATTTAAGCTACACTAAATACTGGTTATCTGATCTACGACAATATGGCGAGGGGGCCGATGGCTGGCCATGCGTCATACTCGTGAACGGGTGCTACTTGTGGTGACTGGTCGTACTTGAATTCGTGTATGCGGTGATGTTAATTATTTCGACTATGTGTTTGCGTGTTGTTCCCACGAGAATGTAAGTGCGTGCTCCTATTTCACCATGCCTCCTGCTGATAGAGGACAAGTCTTTGTTTTTAATTTATGTTATTATTATTAATTACTTAAGATGTTATGTGGAACATGGTGTAATGGTTGCAGCTCCTTACAAACGTTGTGTAAAAAAACATGGCGATTAAAAAGAGTGGCGGAGAGTTTATTGCCAGTTCTTCTCTTCCGTTCTACGCCCTTGATTTGAGAACTGGCAGTAAATGTAAAATTAGAAGCATTAATATGTATTTCTTTAATGATGAATCACAAGTGTACATTGTGTTACCTACGTGAATAAATGATTTTTGAATTTGAATTTACGCCCTTGATTTGAGAACCGACTAAATTTAGACTAATAGTTTTTGACGTTAATAAGTTACATTAATAAATATATTTTGACTTTGACTTACATGATTCAGCGACGGCTTCTAAACCGACCATAAGCGCGAAACCTGCGACTGCGCATAGGAACTGCATGATTCCAGTACGGTCTTGTCTCCATACCTCAAAGAAAACCACATACACTAGCGTACCGCAGGCCAAACCCTGAGAAAATAATGTTTAAATTAGTTAAATTATTAATAAATAAAGCAATTACCACAAATTTTTGTCAATCCAAGTAACCTTTATATCAGATATATTGCTATTTATTTTCTGACTCACTTTTAATAGCCCTCTAAAACTATAAGTTATAAAGTTCCTTTTCCTCTGTATCCGTCTCGCTTACACTGCTCTCTTCTTACCTGTAAAACAACTGAATATAATCCAGCTGACGCAGCCCCGGCTCCTCCCACCAAAAGTATGCCCACTCCAATACCAAGAGCAGAGACAAAGGAGAATGTGAAGATGTAGACGATAGACAGCCACCGCTTGGTGCCGGCAGCGAGAAGTTCAACTCCAATGCAGAACGCTATTATGTATTTATGAGCTGATACTGCACCAAACATATACCTGGAACAAATTACTTAATTATCATTTATATATATAATATATTTTAATAAGACGCTAAAAAAGAAGATTGGAGTATGCCAAAGGGCTATTGAGCATTCTATTCTTCGGTTGGAAATTAAAGACCCACCTGGGTCAAAAAGACTCTTACTTGGAATGGCCCAGTGGGAAGAAAAAAGAGGACGCCCACCAGAAACCTGGGTAGATGAAATTAAAGAAATTTCTGGGAATGATTGGAAGATAGTAGCGAAGATTAGAGAGAAATGGAAGAATTTGGAGGAGACCTTGACTCCATCAAAGGTTGTGTACTTATATTAAATATGACATAAATTTAATGTAATCCTTATTTTAGTCCAATATAGGCTATTCAATTTATTATCATTCAATATAAAAACTCTGTCTATTTCATTCATCATTTATGTAGTCCAGGCCTTCTATGCCTGACAAAAGCCTTCCATTTTTGGCACCCCATATATGGGAGCTGCGGGAAAAGTATAAACGAGTGTTGAGAAGGACCTGGGTTCTCAACACGTAAATTTTAATAATAATAATAAACCGATTATTTACAAAGAAAATGGTACCATATTGATGAATTATAAATAAAACGTCCATATATAAATATGCATGCAAATGTCATATTAGTGATTATAAGGTCATAACTGAATAGTTCAGTTTACATGTAATAAGCTATGGAAAAAATTTGGACGCATATAGCAAAAAGTGCTTTCGAAATAGCCAGATGGCGCGTTAGCAGCAATGAGATAAAATAAAAATAACAGCTACTAATCTAAAGATTTGAAGCACTTCTATAAGTAATTCGTCTAAACGTTGACTGATAGTGTGATAAAATCTTGATAAAGTATATTCCTTAAACGAGACCAAGGATTCTTGAGTTCATTTACTTTGTTTAAATAAAGAAATAATAATTTACAAAGTTCATGCCTGCGTATGGTGACAATGTGCGTTGGTTAATTCACACACAACATTATTTTCATGGTCAGACACAGAATTTATAAAAAAAACCTGTGTGCAATTCACACGTGGTAGAAATGAAACCTTCAAAAATTTTGGTTTCAAGATAATGTGACGAGAGTAATTTTAATTTTTAGGTTTAATATCAATCTTTAATTTTGATAAAAACTAAAATATTTAAAGTTTGAAAGTCGACGAAACAAAAAGCGACAGTAAAAGAGACCGACATAAGATTTAACTAGGGAGAAAATGAGATAGGAAGCATTATACAGTGTATTAACTTTAAATTAGTGTGTATTTAATTATCCTATCTCATTTTCTCCCACGTTAAATCTTATGAATTTATGTGGGGTCTCTTTTTACTGTCGCTTTTTCGTTTCATCGACTTTCAAATCACAACGATGCTTTTGCACAACGACGAAGAAGTTTGTACTTCAAAAATATATTTATTACATATAAGTTACGAGAGAGCAACGGATAAGCAAAGCAATAAAAATCTCACATTAAATCATTTTTAAATACATTCCTTTACATATGAATAAAAAACCAGTTTAGGTCTAAGACAGATTCTGTATCTATTTCGTGATCAGTTGTTTTATCTAATAGGCAAGTAGATAATCAGCCTTCTGCTTCCATATGGTATTAAGGGATGCCGGTTTCCTCACTATATTTTCCTTCACCGTTAGAGCGATTGTTAAATGCGCATATAGAAACTCCAGTTGTGCACTGGGGTTCGGACTACGACCTCAGGGATGAGAGTACGCTGAAGCCACTGCTCAATATTAAAGATGTTACAAGGCGGTTATCAAATATATATTAGCGGACTTCAGAGATCCTGAATTCTCTGAAAACATTCTCTTTTAAAGGAATTTTTTTTTATTATCTAAATTCGAATGTCTCCGATTTCATTTATAACAATTGCCCCCACCTACAGATGCATTACATCATGGCCGTTATTTATAACTTAAACACACACTGGAAATAAACCATTATCTTATATTATTAACTGGGAGGCACGAGGATAAAAAAGAAAAAAAAGCGTGTGTATGTACAGTGTACACGCGTTAGAAGTTATACTTCTTTGGCGTAATTATTTTTTTTGAGCACTTTAGAGGGACGTTTCCCTCTTCGAATTGCATTTTTCATGTCAATTTTAATGGTTACTTCCAATCGATATGATATTCTACTATTGTAAAAAACATAGTGTTTTTTTTAGAAC